AAATCACATTCATAGAGGGTCTCCCTCAAGCCCTTTAAACATTCGGAAGCTTCATTTTTCACAGTATATGGTTGCTCAGCCTAAAATTATTTCTAGTAAATCATTGTTCTCTGAGAATTCTTCAATATGTATTTACCTTTGATAATCCACTCAGCGAAAAAAGGACGACAATTGCGAACGCAGAGTACTTCATGCCGACTTTATTTGCAATTTGTATAAATAGACTTTTCACCGGATTTTCCGGAAAAATGGGAATCACTGTTTTGTTCGCCTGGTATTTATAGGTTAATTTTATAAGTGCAAAACTAAAATCATTGATAGCACAAAAACATGAAACTCGCTTTATTATTTACAGAGATATTCTAATTGAATTGCAAATATATATTTATGATACAACTTGTTTTTCACTATCATTCATCTCGGCTCTATTGAGTATGTACCAATTGGAAAAAAGTACCTTTGCTGCAAGACCATAGCAAACTAGTTCTCAGGAGCGGACGAAGAAAATTTGAAAACTATTAAATATTGCCATTAAGAGTGTAAAAAATCTTTAAGGAGTTTCCATTACAATATACACATTTTCTTCTTCATTCAACAATCATGCTACCAACTAAGACAATAATTATTAGAGCCCCTTCATTCGTAACTACAAAAATATTTTAAGTCGTACTAACCAAAACCTCCGTATCAAAATGTACTCAGCTATTCAAAGAAGGCCTTATAGCCGACCATTGCCTTTAGGCACCTAAATGCTAAGATACATAAAATAATATATTACTTCTGGTCTTTTGATCACACTGCGCAAAATCTAATCAATATTTTGTAAAACGATTTGAACCTCTCTTACGATATAGGGAACTATTTTAAGAAGCAAGTGGCTATAACAAACGATGTACAACTCAAATTTTCTAAAATTTATAATGGCAAACATTTTCAGCTGTACTTTCAACAATTTTCCTTTTTTTTGTATATGTAGAGAAAGTATCAAACTCTTGTTTGCCTACCATGTATGCAATTGACTGCTTGCAGTTTAATTAAATTTATATTTTGATCAGTTTTAATTGAGCATTGTCATTGTATAAAGCCGACAGAACTTTAATAAAACAATTAAAAAAGTTTAAAGTTCGAGCGGAGCTGAACGTTAAATACCCGGCGCAAGTATTCGATACAGTTTTTTTCACCCTTCCAAAACCTACCGCTACGTGGTAAACAGGGGTGGTTTTACGTCTATATCAAACATTTTCGATAGAATGTTCAGTTAGATAAACTTTAGATAGTGAAATAAACTTATATAGTCATATGTGGACGGCATCACGCCCATTTTCCAAAACTCCATAATAATGTTAGTCCTTTTCAAGTGATTGTTTTGTAAGTAACAACTTTTAGTAAATTAGCGTTCTTAAATTTCGCAATATCGAAGTTTCAAGCATTTCTGAAATTTACCGTTATATGAAAAGTGGCCGTAGTTTTAGTCCAATTTCAATAATTTCAATAATCAACGGTTCGCTTTTATGTGGCAAGCACAATAATAATACCGTGTTTGGCTCAAACTGGTCGAACGGTTATCGAGATACACATTTGTGGTCATAAACGGGGGCGGTGCCATGCCCATTTTTCAAAATTTTATCATAAACGTATTTTCTGCTATAGAATTATTGAAAGTATCAATTTTGAATAAATTATTAAGTATTTATTGATTTATCGAAGATTTCATATATCTCTAAATAACCGTTATGTGCAATGTGGTCGTGGTTATTGTCCGATTTTAAAAATTTTCCGCCGTTTGGTATACATACATATATTGATTTTCAAGAATCAAAAAATCTTTTTCTCTCCATATAAAATACGTGGAAACCTCAATGAGCTTTGAGGCAGTTTGAAATATGTTTTTTCCAAAGTTTGAAAAGCTCTCAGCAGAGCAGCAACAGCACTATTATTTTTGCTTTTGCTTCGCTTAGAAATTTTTAATTTTCATTCGAACTGCTTTACTTCTACTGTGACTTCGAAAATTGTATCTTGCTTTTTTATCGGTAGTTTATTGAAGACAATTGATTGCTTTTGATTTGCTGTGATAGTACTTTTCATGTGTTGTGATCTGCTTGACTGTCCGGTGTACATGAAGCTTTGCAGCATGGTGAATTGTCGGTGACTCACCAGGAGTGAGGTGCGATACCAAAACCTTTGCCTAACGAATTAAACATGGCGATGTCATTGGAGCCTACCGAGCCGTGCGCGTGGCATGACCTTTCGCTGGCGATTATCTTGTGCAAAATTGGCGTTGACCAATCGCTAGCGAATTGCCTAAAAATCGGTAAAGCATCGAATAGTTAGCTTATGGTCGTTTCTTGTCACCAGTAGAACTGAAGGGTAGCGCATTTGTGTATGCATACATATTTATACAAATCTGATGTTTCACTGTCAAGTGATAATCAAATTGCTGCTGCTTTGCTGCCGCTGCGCTGTCGCTGTACTTAAAGCTCAGTTAGTCCAGACTTAACTTAAGTTAACTTACCGTAAGAAATCATCAATGGTTATTCAACACGTCAACTTAAGCCAAGAGCGGAAATATTTTGTTTTTGTATTTCTTTTTTCAGCTGTTTAACAGTTCGCTGGCTAAAATGCCATATCAAAAAAATGTATGCAAACAAAAATGTTTGCTTTCATTTATTTTTAAGAAATACAAAAACGAGAGTCTGGCAAGCCTGATTCTCTCACCGCTCTCAATTTCCGTAAGGCCGTAACTTGAGAACCTAAAATCTACAGGTTCTTAAGTTTCTTACGGTAAGTTAAGTTTTAACTAACCGCCAACACAGTTTCTCATATAACAGGTTAGCCAAAATATTAAATTAAGTTAAGTTACGAAAATTAAGTCTAGACTAACTGAGCTTTTAAACTGGTTGTTTTTTAACTGTCTGGTTGCGTTGGAAATTTTACAGCAAACAGCTGTTGCTTTGTTTTCGATATCACACATGTATATATGTAATACTCCTATATTGGCAGTAAGAGCTAGTACCGTCCGAAAACACTACAGTACAGATATATCAATAAACACGTACGAAAGAAAAGGAACACATACGTTTATAAATAAACATGTACACGACACATATACACGGCACTCACCCTGTGGGAAAATCTCTAGTTCTGAACTGGGGCGCTTCTAGTACATATATACCCAGTACTGGTTCGCGATAAATCTCTTTTGCATGCAAGCAACTGGCGAATTTAACATGGCGATGTCCTAGGAAGTGTCAATTGCCCCCCGCTGCTTCCCTTTTTCGATAGTTCCGAACTAGTCCTAAATTCTATAGTTCCGAACCAGTTTCAAAATCGACAGACGAAAGCAAAAAGTATCATGATTCTTTAATCTTTTTTGTTCTTCCGTGTGTGCGATTTTAAGTTATTTTGGAAGAAATGTGTTTTCAATTTGAAATTAAATTTGTTTGAATGATTGTAAGAAATGTACGTTTACATACCTTTAGCTGTAGCTGAGTTTGCAGACATGCTCGCTGTTATTTCTTAGATTCCAGACGGTCCCAAGATGTTGAAATGTTAACACAAATT